TTTTTCCTGACTCGTGCTTCGTTCAATTTCAGAACTTGGGTTTTTCGAACGCTGCAAATAGTGGATGTTGAAGCATTCGGAGGTCCCACAAAGCTGCATAATGTTTTCTTGTAACCGTTTCCTCCTTTCCTTCCTGCCTCCCTTCCATTTGTTTCCCTTGTACGGTCGTTAGCTTTTTTGATCCTGTGGCCGTCAGCAAGATCTTGTTGATCGTCAGGAGATTCCAAGAGCGGAGGATGATTAATTCGTCTCTGCTTCGACCCAAGCAGGCATCCTTGAACGGAAGATAGGAACCCATCCGACAAGCTGGAGGTTTCTGAAATGTACAACGTGACCTGATGGGCAGCACTTCACGCTGGGAAGTCTCTCCTCTAAGAGCTCGAGGAGCTGTTGCAAGCTAAGCTCCTGAATTGTGGTCGCGCAACTCACATGCTCTGCCAAGCCACAAGATCCACAAGCTGGAATATGTCTCTCTCTCCTTCTCGCTTTTCGTTGGGGCAGGGCTCGAATTCGAAGCCGGCAAGTTACATCCGAGAAACCTGCCCATGATGTCGGGCCACAATTGCTTCCATACCGAGCAAGCACAAGATTTCTGCGTCTGAGGCTACAGCAAGAATTCGCTCCGCCCTTGCAGCTTGTCGCTGTCAGGAATGCTGATGAACCCGCTTCCGCTACCTTCGTGTATTGACATGCTGTAGTCCTTACAACACGCAGACAATGCAACTGAGCAGTGCACGTTTGACAATTTTAATGTTCGCCAATGAGTTCTCCTGCAGCCTGAAGTCATGTGAGTTTTTATGTTCTTTCCGCTCTCTTGCTGCTCTTGCTGCTGCCTCTTCAGGACCTCCTTTCGCAGCTGCAGCATGGTAAACGTCTCTGGAACTGCCAGCACCAAACCTGACATTCTATGTAGGTTTCCACGGGCCAGGATCTTCGGCGGTTGGGCCCTTGGCTTTGGTTCTGCTCCATAGCATGCACCAGCCTCGTTTGTGGCAGGCTTCACTTAACACAGTATGCAATGCCTTGCATGTTCCAAGAATCTCTCCTGATTTGAACTTCTCTTGGCTCGGAATGCTGTGGACGTTTCAAGTCCATGCCATGAAGGACCAACCCACCTGAGAACTTCTCAAGCAAAGCTGCGCAATTCCATCACAAAGAACACCTTTGACGAACACTGCCGTGCCTGCGATTTCGCGCTCGTAGGCACCAAGCGGCCGGTCATCTCGGAGCACCTCAAAGTGAAGCACCGGCTTTTCAGAGAATTCAGAGAGGTGCTTTTTCATAGCTGCACTGTCCGAGCCGCATCATCCCCAGTGGAGGAAAGAATAATCTTCGAAGGATCACCATGGCCAAGCTCGGCCACAATCAGCTCCTTTAGAACAGTAGAATATCACATGACTGCAAGCCTCCCCTCTCCTCCCCGCCTCTCCTACCCCCGTCTCCTCCCCCCCTCCTCCCCCCCTCCCCCCTCCACACGTCCTTGAGTTCATGAACGCGGAAATCGCTTGCAACTCCCATTTGCAGCTGCTGGTCGGGGTCAAGCAAGCTCGTGATCTGCCCATATCAGCTTCACATCAACCTAAACGTGCCTGCTGCCTGCTAAGCAATGGTCAAATTCTCATCGATCTTTTGCAAGCAAACCTGCCTTCAAGTGCATCTCACGGGGTGATTCTGCAGATTTTGCTTGGCCTTTGGGCAACAAATGCTCACCGAACGCATTGGCATTGTGGGCTACACTAGGCGTCAAGCGTTGCACTCGAGACTGTGCCTGACAGCAGGGCGGGGCCAATCCAGAATCTGAAGCAATCCAGAAGTAATGTATGACCAAGGACTGCCTCGCTGCTGGGCGTGTTGCTGGTAGCTTGCTGATCCTGTTCGCAAGACTTTACAACATTACTGCCCGCTGTCAGCCAAAGCTTTTGCCTGAGGTTTGGGAGCAGCCACAGTTGGCTGACCGCCAGACACCTAATTGGAGATGAAGATTTCTCACTGAATGGCAATGCAAACATATGAAAACTGTGTAAGTGCTGGCAGGATGCTGCATTGGAGTCTGCTTTAATCTTCTGAATCTTCTGTTTCGGACTGGCCTGGTAACATGATGCAACCTGGAGGTCTGTGGCAGCGCCTCAACCTCAACCCGCTCCACCTTTGCCAGCTGCGGATTCCTCTGTGCCTGCGCTTTGGAAGATTCCTTGTTGCTGGGCTCCTGCAACAGTTCCACCCATCACCTCCAAGGCTTAAACATGAAGTGAAAGGAGCTCCTCCTTCGTGCTTGTCCCCGAAGTGCTCTCCAAAAGATCTCGGCCTAAGAACCTGCGCCAGCGCCAAAAAAAAACACTGCACATTCCCTAAATCGGGACCGCTAGAACCAAGCTGAGCTGCAGAAGCTCCCGCTTGGCGTTCAGCCGATCGCCATCGGCAAGACCTTGAAAGCCACCAGTGGCCAGTCCTGAGCTGCACGTTTTGGAGAGCTGAACTTTCTACAAACAGAAGTTGATTCAAGGCTGTCAAAGATCTCTTTACCAGCTTGCACTTGCTGATGCTGCTCTCGCCAAGCCTTCAGATTCCATTCTCAACCCTTCTCAGCGACATGGCAGCTCAAAGCCTGTTCATGACCTCCTTCCTGACGTCTAGCATTGTAGCCGTGTCCAGAATGGAAATGGTCAGACCTAACACGTCCCAGCTCCCAGATCGTAGCAGTAAGACAGTCGAGGAGAATCCTTGCATTTTCTCAAGCTGAGCCAGGCACTCTGTGGCGAATCTGATGCCGCATGGACAAGCCTTTCGGGATTTGGCCATCAGCTCACACTGTGCTCTTGACAGCCAAGAAGTACATGCAACCGTGATCAAACCGGATGCATCAAGCCCAAGACCCTGCACTTCCGCCGTGCCCTACACTCTTCCCAAATTGCAATTATAGTCCAGGGGGTTGGCTCCCAGACCCCAAAAATCAGACGCGAAGACTGACACTTTTCTTGGAGCCCAACTTCACTTTGACGGTTTTGCCCTTGGACATGTCGATTCCCATGGCAATCAAGCCACCTGCCGTATTTTGAATATCTCCTCCACCCGTCTCGTCCCTACTTCAGAGCAGGCTGCACTTGCGGCCTGATATTTCAGAGTCCAGAGAGCTCAAGGCAACATCGTCATTGAGCGCCTGGCATAACGAGAGGCACGAACACATGTCAATGCAAAACCATTTGCACACTAGACACGGCCTACTGTTAAGACGGATGATACACCAGAGAGAACTTGCAAATATTGACTAAAAACGTAAAGCACAGAAATCTCAACGTGTGCAGAGAGAAGCTAAAAAAGCTAAAGGCCCGCTGAAATCCTGAGCACGTGTGGCCACGCAAGAGTTAGATTTTTTAGTCCTCCAGCAGTTTTCCGGTGAATTTCGTTTTCAGGTTCTCGACGCCCGCTTTTGCAACTTCATGCTTTGGAGATCCGTTTGATGTGGGGGGTTCTGCGATGCCCCAAACACCAGCGCCGGACGGGGCACTCTTGTACCCGCCGCTTGTCTTCCTGCATCGGGGCCCATGCAAAAGCAGTCAGACTTGACGCCTCAAGGCAAAGGAGGCCAAAAAAACGCATTGAGCAGGTGGGACAATCATGGTTTTCTGAGCATGTCGGCGGCTGCGGGGCCTGCCCACTTGTTCCATGTTGCAACGACAAACATGCTGCTTCACCGACCACCATGTGAACGCGTGCAAATTTTGATACATGGGAGATCCGCCTGAGGGGGGTCCTCAGATGGTCCAAACACCGCAGCCGAACGACCCCGCGCCGCACAGGCACCTGAAAACAGGATGAAAGGAGCTTCAAAACAGCCAGGTCAGCCGCGGTGCCACGGATCGCATACTCCCAGTCGTCAACCCCCCCAGCTGAACCATCAACAGCAATTTCTCAGTGCAACGCATCCTCTTTGGATCGCTGCGACAAAAACAAATTCAGGAGAGCATGGGTTTGCCTAAAAAAACCACATCGAAAATTTTAAGGTTCCCATTAAAATCCTGAAAGATTTGTCAAGTTGTGAACAGGCTAACAGATGCCACAAGATCGCGTTTGCTGGGGAACACTTGTTTCATGTGCGCCTCAACGTGAGCCGGGACTTGAACTGTGCTCAGGATATTGTTGGAAGTTTGTTTCTTCACATGCTGATATCGTTGCGCACAAGGCTCTGGCTGCAGCCCGTCACCTTTCCAGTCCCCTCTGTCACACGCATGGCTGTCTTGACTTCCGTTGCCAGAACTGCGGCAGGCAAGTCTTAGTCACAGGCGCGTTCTGCTTGGCAATGTCATGCAGGTAGTCGACTGGCCCGTTGCCAAACACCTTGCTCCAGAGGGGCTGGATGTTTTTAGCCATAGTAGCCGAAAATTGGCCATCGCGGACACGAACGAAGTCTTGCTATGTTTGGCGCGATCGTTGATCCAAGTCTTCTGCCACCAATAATCGCTGGCCATTGTCGCCAAACTTTAACGGAAATCCTGGAGGTTTCTTCAACCCCGCGGGTGGCTTCCAAAAACACCATAGCGGGAGCGAGGCCCCAGAAAAAAACGAGGTGGTGATGATGATGATGATTGCAACAAAGTTGTCAGCAAAATCGCCGCTCTCTGATTGCCAGGAGCGCGGCAGTGGGAAGCTGGCGCAGGCCTGCCACTTGACTCCTGACGTCCCTGGTCCGCCTTGTAGGCGCTGCGGTGTGGAAGGCGAGCGGCATCCATCCTGGCCATGCAATTGGACGAAATCTTCGTCCCCACCCTACACAGCACGGCGTACCAGCCAAGGACACGCCCCAAAAGCCTGAAAGGCTGTTGGACTTTGACAGGATTCCAACCGTCCGGAAGGACGCGGACAAAGCAATATTCCGCTTGCTCAAGAGGCGGTGGCCGTTCTCGGCTTTGGCAAGGTGGACATCGTAGGCAATCACCAACAACCGCGTGGTGGCATTGACCATGAGCTCGCTGGTCTTGTTCCAGGCCTTTTCCTGCGCCTGCTGGACGCAGTAGGTCTTCGGTCAGGGGCTCGAAGGCAATGACGCAGGAGGGCGCACGCGGCGCCGCCGTTCCCCGCCGGCACACAGATCGCCCGCCGAGACGGGCGGTCGAATGGTTTCGGGTCCCATAAAACGCCACTGGGTGGCAGTGGAAGCACCTTGGACTTGGCGGTGCGGTTGCGAGGCACAACCTCCTCTTCCAAATCAGATTGGCGCGACACCCGGGGTCGTATTGAAGGGTATTGGTGTAGTCCTGTACTCCTCGTAGAAAAGCCCATGCAAGGCCACCGCTTCACCTCGCCAAGAGGGCCGCCCCAAAGTCCAGCTGATGCATAGTGATTGAAGTGCTACCGACAAGTCTGGAACTTATTCGACTTGCGGATCCAGGGGTCCCTCCTTGAGTGGTAGTAGTGGGAAACGTAGGGCGTGACGCCAACTGCTCTCAACAAGTAATCGGCAGTGGGGCTGATCCCGCAGCGCCGCCTCCCAGGAAGGCCGCCGCACAAGGACATCGGCAGCATAGAAGACGGCAGGTACGTCGCGCCGTGATGGACGGCGGCGTTGGGAAGCAATCAAAGGCCACCTACAGGCGGCACTGCCGGCCAGGTCACAGGCAGCATCGCCGTCATCGTGAAGGCGACGGCATAGCCTACGGTGTTGTAGGCCACCGTTGCTCAGGTGGTAAGAAGCGCAATTACGCTGCCCAGCAAGCTTTCTCTGCGGCCGATCTTTTGTATCAACATGTACAAATTTTTGGCTAGCTTTTTCTTGGCTCCTGGGTAGTTTTACAAGCTTTCAAGCTTGCGTTCAGCCTTTATTTCACGTTTACAATTTACAATAGCTTCCTCTCTGGATATCGCCCGTCTTGAGCCTACTGAGTTCGCCGCATTCTCACCACTTGTCGACAGCACAATCTTTGCAGGATTCCCACGGCCAACTTCCTGTCAGACATATAACTTGAGCGTGTCAAGAAGAAATACAACAAAGCTGTCCTCAACGATCCTCTCCTTCAAGACGAAAGCAAAAGCAAGCAAATGTCGAAAAAATGTGAGAGGCTAACGTGGCCTTCAGCTGTCGCACCAGCAGGTTGTTTGGAATGCACAAGCTGAGCTGGTTCCCGTCTTGGAAATGGGTCACCTGCCACTCAGCTCATGTGAAAGGCAAGGGGATGCAATCTCTTCAGCTCTCGCCTGCACTTCCACTTCTCGGACTGGCGGCGGTGCACTCCAGAGCTCCTCAAGCAAATCAATAAATTTCAGCTCAAACTGTAGCCCTGCACGCTGAAATGGATTGCAGGTCTTGCAAGTACTTGTGCGTCAAACGGAGAGGCTACGCTTTATGCTGTGGCATGTGCGCATATAGTAGAGAGAAGAATAGCAAGCATGTTCTCGCCCACACCCTGTCCGCCATTTTCTTGGCATCGTAGCCCATGCTCTCACGAAGCTTCAGCTCTTCCTTGTCCAGCACGCATGAGGTGACACCCAAGCTTGCTCTGACATGAAATGACATGAGCCATGGCCTTCCGGTCAAAGATATTGTTGCTACTGTACGTGTCAGGGTCCTGGAGCTGATCAAGAAGCTGAGATTTCTCGGAAAACCTTTCGCTCTCCTCTTGATTCCATCGCCCGGGTGGCCGCTCCAGACACTTATCTGTGCAAACTCGGATGTCGTCAAGTATGGCCTGCAACGGCCGCTACGAACAAACAGGAAACAGCCTGCAGCGGGGCCTTGGCAATCTCTTTGGCCAGCTTAGATTCTGGCTCCTACACGACTTTCCACACTGGTATGCCGTCAAGAAGTTGTACAGAAGAAATGGCACGTCCTTGACCAGAGCTGATGCTTCCTGGCGTGACTTGCAAGTGCCCCAGACCTTTGTCGACGTGGGCTCGCTGCGGGCCTTTCATATCAGGCACACCATTTGAGCTTGGCACGGTCTTGGGCTCACTTTGTCTGTGGTAGTCGTTGGGGTAGCCTCATGTGTGCAAGGTGGCAGCCGCATGTGTCTGCGCTTGTGTGCGTGCCCTCAGAACCATGCCAAGAGGATGCTGCACGTAACGAATCCCATCAACCTGCCAATAGAGCTCACACAGCTTGGGTTGGGCCCTTGCTTGTTTTCTTTAGTTTAGCATGTCAGCTTGTAACTCCTGCCTGCCGATCGCAGGAGATATGCGAGTGTCCAAAAACATGACAGCGTGAGCCACAAGCGCGAGCCTGCATACTTAACTACGCGGCCATGCCAAGGAGCCTACATGCTCCCATACAGCATCTCTCAGCTCCTGTTTCTCAATCTCCCTGCATCCCATGACTCCACCTGCTTCAAGCACGTCTGCACGGGGACTCGCCTGCAGCAATCTCAGTTTCGAGCAAAGCCGCCGCGGACCAGGATAGCATTCCTGCCAAGGCATGCGGCAGCAAAAACAATGTACGTTGCCACATGGAACTTCTGCATGTGCCATAGGACTTCCAGAGAGACCTGGCGGGGAACGAAGTGGCTCATGGTGACGACGAAAATCTCATTCTCATCCTGGCAAACCACAGATGATCAAAAGAAGTAGCTGTGGAAAAGGCATCAAAGTCGGCGATGCCTGCGCCTTTGCCAAAGGCGGCAGCACTTTTCCCTCCAGTTGAGCCTTGGAGGAAGCAAATAATCTTCCTGGTCCGCATGCGCAGAATTGTTCCAGGGCCGCCGCTTGCCGAGCCTCCTCTGCATCTGCTTCAGCTCGTTTGAGAGCTGTCAGAGCCTGAAATTTCAACACAAGGCCACGCGTCGTTGTTCGCCTCTTGGCTTAGATCTGAGGATGGCACGCCTGCCGGTGTTGCAGCTATTCGGCGCTCATTTAACCTACAGAAATTCTTACAGGAGATGAAGTGTTCATCAGAGTCCCGTGTTGAGGCACAGGCGACAAGAAGAAGTCAGCAATTTCAGGCTGTTGTGCATCATTTGTATCACCACCTATCTAGCCAACCATTCCCTCAGCTGACTTCTGCGCATGTCCTCTTTACTTGGTCTGCGGACGTCCAGTAATGTCCCACGGCCATTGCGTCTGCATGTCAAATGGTATGTCTGCCAGATTGCGAGAAAACCTTGGACCGGTTTGCACACTCATGTTGTAAGTCAGGTGCCTCTACCTTTACTGAGGGCAGAGCCCGTCGACAAGGTTGTCCTGGTGCTGCAAAACCAAAAACTTGGCTCAGACTTCAAAGGTCAGGATGCCTTTCATATTTGTGGAATCTTTGGAAATGCACATCGTGCTTGGAATAAGATTTTTTGTGAGGTCTGGCTATGTCGTGGCCTCTTCCCTTCTTGCCTCAGTCCGAGAGACATGTTAAAACGAATCAAAAAAAGGCCGCAGCTTCATGTATGCTGATTCTGTACGTCTCAGGCTATGGGACCATTGGCTGTCCTTGTACCAGGAAAACAAGGGGCACACCGCGCACTCGGAGTTGATGAAAGCAGGCCTGCCACCAGCAGCCATACACTCGACCCATAGCATCAGCTTTGGTGCAAAAGATCAGTCCTTGTGTGAACGCCCAACTCTTCACAAATCTGGCAGGCGCTTCCAAAAGACAGCGAGGGCAAAAATGAAGCCACATGAAGCCAACCTTGCCTCCAAGATAGCGAGGAATTTGTGCACAGAGGATAGACCATCTTTCTTGCTCACCCACAACCTGTACTTAACATTGTCAGCTTAATTGAGAGGACCCCAGAGAAGAGCCGGTGACTGCGGTGACTGAGGCCGGGTGCTCATGGTTTCCCGGAACGTAAAAGATCGCACCAAATTTAGCCTCAACATGAGCAAGGTGTGCTCTGTTCAAGCGCCACATCTTGCAACACGGAGCCTGTAGAAGTCGAAAGGAAGTCTCGATAACCTTATAGCACGGCAAAGCAATCGGAGACTTTCGAATTTTGGAGAGTAACAAAAATATTCAGCGTGCAACCTCCAGGCTCGATGCGATGTCTCCCGCAAGCAGAAGGACTGTGTCCTGCCAGCAGTTGCCAACTTCACTCTCGAAATGTCTCGACATTGCTCCATCTGAGCATCTGCAGGATTTGCACCTCGCCTATGATACGATGTGCTTCCATGAGCTCCACTCGAAATGAATCTGCAGCAACGTGCAAGTACCCTGCCGGCTGCAGCTTTGAACTACAAGGCCTTACAAACTCATCAAGCACCGTATTATAGAAGTTACGGCTAAAATCATCCTTCCCAAGACAGCTTCAATTATTCGGCTTCATGGGTGTGGGCTTGTCCTGGCAGACGGGCAGCTGCTTCAGATGGGTCATATTCTTGCCTCAGCGAAGCTTCATGTCCTACTTGAAGTCAGAGACTCGGCGCAGGACCCATGTCAGAGTGCAGATCGCTCCAGACCACCACCTGCAATTTGCAGTTTCACAGTTCACTACGGGCGCCACCCGCTTGCATACTGCGGCCTCGGAAAAGTCTTTGGAAAGCCGCGGCCAGGCCTGGAGGTTGAGAAGGAAAAGCTTTGAAAAGCCTCCGGGAGTGCATTTCGCTCCTCAGATGGCTTGGTGTCCAAAGGTCGCCATCGCTTCAGCATCGTCTCCTCGCAAAGCAGAAAGCCACAGAGGTACAACCGGCGATCTCTTGCGATGCCTTGGGCAAAGAGATGGCCTGGCGAACAAAACAAACTTAAAGAATTGAAACGAGGAAACTAAGATACGGTTTCTTTTTCTTTGGCGCCTTGTCGTTGAGTGCTGCTTCGGGTGACACTACGGGGACCGGCTTGGCAGCCACCGGCATCTTCTGCCTTTTGCAGTTTGGGAGCGCTCTTAGGGAGCTCTTGCTCTTGCGTTCCGAGCACTTGGATGCTGGCTTCTGTGCTGACGGACTTTCAGCCTTTGCTTGTGAGGCCTTTTCCGTCCTGGGCGTGGCCATGTGCAGGACAGGCAGAAGAGCATGACTGTGCTCAGCCGAAAGCCAAATGACATGAGCGGCCACATTGCAGCCACACCGCGCGCAGCCTGCAGCACAAGCAGAGTGAGAAGAACATGCACCACTAGCTTTCAGTTGCAGCTCGGCGCTGGACGCGAATCGCTCACATCCTGGCATTTCCACTCTGGGCAGCAAATCCAGCAAGGTGACCGTCAATATCTGCAGCTGCGACCATGTTCAACGACACCACATTCTCCTCTAGTGCCTGGCACACAAGCACGCCCCAGCTTCAAGTCCACGATTTTGGAGCATGATTGAGGAACCGAGGTGCAACTGATTACTAAAGCTGCAGGCAGAAAATGATGCTTCAGCTACTTGCACACAGCCGGGAGTGAGCATCAACCCCACAAAATCTAAAGAAAAGCAAGCCGAGGATGCAAAGCATTTGCATGAACACTGCTGGCAGTTGCCTCGCTTGTTGCCTCGAAAAGTTGAAACGGCAGCGTGAGGTTTGTTCAATGTCACCTACGCTTTGCAGAGTCCTTCTACAATACTGTCAGAGCGACGATAACACACATGATAGAGCACCGGCAGTCGCAAGCGACTTTCTGAAGAATTCAAATGGAATGTATACAAAATTGAAACACAAGTGACCACTAAGACAAAGGAGTAGTCGTCGCAATCAACAAAAAAAACACTGGGCCAGCAACCCAGCAGATCTATACACGGGCCATCTGCTTCCTGGCACCAGAACCCATGAAGCTCAACTCAATGCTGCAAGTTCTGCTTAAGCCAACACCTCCCAATTTGGGACGTCAGCTGTCTCCACGGCCTCCCACTCTCCATAAGTTTCCTCCTGCACGGGAGAGCTCCCGCTTACCCACAAAACATTGTGTGGTGGACTTCCCAACAGTCCTTGCCCCTGACAATGAATCTGAGGCGTACCTGATTTCTCAAAATCCTGAAAAGCGAAAAGCAAAACGATTAATAAAGTTTCTGTACTGCTGCAGGGCACGTGGCTGTCAGGATGCAAGCCATGGACAATCATAGACTTGCCTGGATAAGTGGGGGCGAGCATGTCTGGCCAAAATTAGAAGCTTGCAAGTGGCGTGTCTGCGGCTTTGCCTTGACTGCATGGCGTACGAAAGCATTCGCCAATCTCAGGCTCAACTTCCAGATAATACTTGCTCATGTCCGAGTCGAAGCTCAGCTGTACGGAAGTAGCATATTTTTTTGTGATGATCGGTGCTGGAACTTGAGGCCGCAAAAGTATTCCAAGGCCAAGGTCTTTGCCATCAAGAAGGATCCAGCGACCTTCGCCGTTCTCCAGTGCTTCGCTGCTTTTGTCGTCGATCAGCAGCCAGCCTTCACGCGGTTGCCCTTCCAGGACTTCTCCTTTTTTCACCACTCCTACAGCATCGGCCTGCGTTGAAGGCAAATTACGCACCATGACCATGTTGGGAACAACTTCAAAGCGCAATGCTGCTGTTTTAGGATGTCGAGTCCATTTGCGCAGCTCTTCCACATTCGGCTTTGGCTTCGGGCGGCTCTTGCTCTTGGGCTTTGCCGCCGGCTCCGTCGCAGGTTTAGCAGGTTTCGCAGGCCCTGCATGCGAGTCCACCCTTTCCAGTAAGGGTCCGAGGCCAAGCGCAGCTCCGTCGATGAGCATGTACCCGTCGCATTCCTTGCCATCTCCCCCGAAGTGCTTCACTTTCAACCAGGGCATGCCTGCGACATCCTGAAGCGAGCCCTCCAACACTTTCCCCTGTGCTTGGAAGCCTAAGATGTTGGCGGTGGTGCTCGGGGTCTTCCGGATGATGACCCTTGAGTGCACAACCTTCCAAGTCGACGTTCCTGCATAACCGGCTGTGGGCATGGCCAGGCTCAGTGTCGCCGTATGTCCATTGCAAATGCACTGAGCGACAGCCCACAAGAATGCCAACAGCACTGGGACTCTGATACGCAAAGGTTCGCTACGGATCGCTAAGGTTGACTAGGAGTCTGTGTGCGTCTAGCTTCCTCAGGCTGCAATTTTGAAGTGGCGGTCCACCAGGTATGCAAACAAGTATCACCAAAAACCGGTCCTTGAAATAGGCCAGCCAGGAGTGACGCGGTCTCAAAAACCCAGCTCATGTGCTTCTGCAACGTGCCAAGAAATCGGCAGAAAGGGCACTAGTTGTTAAGGTCAGCAGAATACTAACGCCCGCAGAACAAAAGGTGCATGATGACCTGTTTTTGGCTATGAGGATGCTTCTACTACTCAGACACGTCGCACCTCTCCCCACACACTTCCTCCAGCTGGAATAAGAAGCAAGCTCTCTGATTTGCAGCAACGCTCGCCAGAAGAGCTCTGCGACTCGTGATGTTTCCCAGCCAGAGTTCATTAGGGGTGGATCTTCCAGAAAGGGTCTTTAGCCTTGCTGCATTGCCCAACCCGACAGCACAAGATGCCGGACTCTTCAATGCCAAACTGGCAGAACTGCATCCACGACATTGGATCTTTGCACCCAACAAGAAACGATTCTCCTGTGCTGAACATCTCAGGCTTCATGAAATACGGTTGGGTTTGGTTTCGAGTTACACAACTTACCGGCTTTCAGCCAATGTATGCAGCCAGGAGGGTTTGGGCCAGGGCTTGGGCTACAGCCTACCAAAACTAGAGGTATTACCGTCCACCAACACAGCCCCGAAGGATCATCCCATTGACCTTGCCAGCTTCAAGCACAAATCTCTTCTTCGGCGCATGTCGCGCAAGCTGATCTTGCAGTTCCACACAACTCAGGATGAGCCTCAGCTAAGCAATCAGAATTCTGTTTCTACACGGCTTACATGCAAGGCCTGGTCGAAGCACAATACTGAGCAGCTCACCAGAACTTGCAAGGCTTTCCATAACCTGAAGTGATCGTATGCAACACCATCAGAATTACGGGAATGGGAAAAGGGGCCCATGCGGCTCGGACCCGTCTTGAAACCTCGCATCTGAATAGGATTCAAATGATTCAATAGGTATGCATGTAAACTTGAGGGGGACGTGAGACTAACTGCTCTTCTGATCCATGCCTCTGTGATCTCCTCGTCTGTCAAGGCGAGGCCTCTGCACTCAGTGGGCTTGCGCACAACTTTTAAAGACCATAAAAGTGCATGTGTTCTGTGGCACAGTTGGTGTGCAGCACCCTGTAGCTTTGCCGTGCAACTGTAACTAGCAACGGGCTTCTTTGCGAGTCTTGAGCGCTTCCCTCTAACGAAGACCCAGGAAACTGAATGGAATGAACCCTAAACCCCGGCTTTTACATCACCTCATTTTCTTCGCCACCTCAGCCCCTGAGCAATGGGGCATGGACCACTTGGTATATAGAAACCTCTCCTTGCGATTCGCTCTGCCACTGGGAAGCTGAGACCTGCCGGCCACATTTCTTCAACTCAGCAATGAACCCGCCTCTTGCCTTTGAAGAGGCCCATTTGGAGGAGCACGGGTTGCTCGTGCATGGGCCAGAAGAACGGTCTGCATGGCGAAGCACGTATTGTAAAGCTTGACTGCGCAGCGAACCGGTCCGCGTGCCTTGTACCCACCTTGGCATCAGCAAGACGACGCATGACTTCTTCTGCATCAGCCGGCACAGAGGCCTGCAGCTCTACCTGAGCCGCTTGTCATGCAGGCTTTAATGCGCTAGTCAGTTCAATGGCAAGACACTGGCCCCATACACCCAGTAGATGTTCGTCTCGTTCTGCCGATTTACATCCTCAAGGGGAGGGGTTGGGAAACTGCAGCATGCTGTAGCGCACTCACAGATGCTCCACTCGCAGATGCTGGGCAACGCACGGGTGGTAGCACCAACCCCGGACAGCCACTCAGCAGGGAGCTGTAGAGCTGTCCGATCTGCCAGGAAACAGCAAATTTGCTGTGGCAACTTGCTGTTCCCAGTGGTCGCATAGCAGGCCACCCTGCAAATCAGAGCCCCGTAGACACATCGTTGAGCTTTAGCTGCCAGCAGATCGGCTTGTTTGGCCCAAGCTTTGTTAGCATGGACACGGAGACATGGTTTGTCGCAGCAAACCTTCAACAATCGGTGGCAAGTTAAGAAAACATTGAACCCCCAAGTTACACCTTGATCCGACCGGCCCCCAACCATACATGGCGAGCGAAACTGTGCTGGTTGTGGTGTTTTGCAAACGCAGTCGTTCATCTCGGGGTCTGTTGAATCCTCTCACATGCCTCGGTGCTGGTTGATCCGTTGCCACCCACGTGATGCCAAATCAGCGGCGCTACATAAGCATGGTGGGATCAAAATTGAGGCTGCTATGCTCGCTGGTGCCATGCAAATTGAGCTTCAAATGCCCAGCTGGGAACAGCCTCCCCAAGAGGACAGGCCGGGTGCCTTCTGGCAGCGCTCTCTACCGCAGAGCGCGCGCAACAATAATGTCCCCAAACCCCACCATTGGAAATTTTAAGGGCTTTTGGGAAGCTGCCTGGGCCCTCAAGATCCCCAGGCCATGCCTCCTCTGCAGTCGAATATGGGGACCATGGGGCTTGACAGCTTGGAGAATCTTGGAGAAAAGAAGAGCAGCCAAAAGAGATCGGTATAGTGTATCGGATTTTCCTTTCCGTTGTGGATGCCAAGACTGTCTTCGACACTGGCTCAGAGAGCTAGCTGCCTTGCGCAGGAGATATGCAAGAACGTCGACGGCACTTCGTGAGCTGCTTTTATCATAGTCATAAATCACTCATAAATCATAGGTGCCCCAACTGGCATCAGCCGCCACTCTGAGACATATGTCCTCTAAGCAAATGGAATGGTGAAATGAAAGTGAGATCTGGCCTGCTGCGCACTTGCTGGATGACCTTATTGACAAACCACAATGTCTTGAACCCTCAACTTTTTCATTCTTGCAACCAGAACGCTGGAAGCCACCTACCGAGGCATCTTGTCCACACGAGCGATCCTATTGCCCCTCGGGCGTTTGGCCTGGCCCTGGCTCTTGCAACCTCCTTCTGAGTTCACGTCAAAAAGCCTCTCCAACTTGAATTTTGATACATCCACCTTCACGGAGTCGGTTTCCTGACCAAGTGATCACAAGTTTCAGCGACTGTGTGAGTGCCTCAAGATCGGCAAGATCGAAAGTACAGAAGATCGCGATCTCTATCACCATCTATCCCCTCCAATTGGTGACATGGAGGTGGAAGCTGGTCGGATCCAGAGAGCTCGGCTTTCCCCAATTTTTTCAAGCAACTCCGCTCGGAGTGTCTTGTGTCAAGGAAGACGAACATGAATCCGTAGACACCGTAGACGCCAGCATTGCCAGCCAACATTTGAATCAGCTGTCGATCATCACCGGGAGGCAGCATCACAAAGGATTCTCCCCTTGCCCTGATAAGAGAATCGTTTTGCATGAAATTCGCCGCCAGTTGAAGAACGACCTGATATCCAACATCACAGCATCAGGGCCCATATCTCCACGCACACACCACCGACTCTTCTTTGTTGGGGCCTTTCCTGGCTGCTCACCGAGCTGAAGTGGTCTCATGATCTTGCTCCTGATGATGCCTTCCTTGCACAACTAAACTCTCCGGCCCACTTGTCTTAAAAGTTTTGTCAAGTTCGTCGACGCCCCATTGATCTTCCATGCCAGGCCCTGGCACTGGCGGGAAGTGTGGCCCCAACACAGGGCAATCAGGGCTTCAGCCAACGACACGTTGAGTTTCAACCTTGATCCGTTGCGGGGCCGCGCCAAAGTATCAGGCCCGAGCGCTGGGCCCCATGAGCAGTTGGAATTTGCAGTCTGTTCGAACACCAAAAGTCCTGCCACGCTGTTCGGTTGCCGGCCCCGCGCTTTGTGGGACCCGGAGTGGATGACGGAAGCAAGGTTGACAGCAGGAATACTTTAACAAAAACCCATCGGATATCAGCTATGTTAGTTTTTTACATCACATTCTTACACAAAGCATCGCAGAGACACGCAGGACCACTAACTTTCACAAATATCACATCATCCTCAACTCCTGCGCCAAGAAGGTGGCACAGGACTGCGGTTCTCGTTCTCGGGCAAGCTTGGACGTTAAGCCTGGCTGTGAAAATTTTCGCGCTGGGGCCTCACCGACATTTTATGTCGTAAAATTTCGAGGCGTCGCATACTGTCTCTTCATAAGCAGTGCAGACACGGATGGCGGCCAGCCAGATCCAAGGCAAATCTTGCTCCAACAAATTTGTTGAGTTGCCATGATGCCTTGAACGCTGACTTGTTGACCCAATGGTTGTGTTTTGAAGGTGTATTTGGTGAGTTGCTGAACTGTACCCTTGACTTGACACAGCACTCATAACGTTTGCTTCAATCCCGAGATCGACCAAAGCTCCGCCTCGCGTTTACGAATGACTGCAGCATCCAGGAATTCCAGCTGCGCAAGCCCTAATGCGGCCTCGAGACAAAGTGCAAAGACACGTGCTCATGTCCACCCAAGCCGTGCCTGCAGGTTGGTCATCCTGTAGTTCCAACCCAGCTCCTGACACCGACTGCTATGCTGATCACGCAGCATGGCATGGGCAGAGAACCTCATGCACGAAACGCCGCTTCTTCGGGTCAAAGCACAGGTTTCGAAGCCTTCTGCACCTGTGAAGAGGAGGGCGACTGCTTTGGGACACTGGATGGCAGAATGGCCATGGGAGGTGGCACAGAAAGGAAGTTGAGGCAAAAGGGAAAATGAAAGTGCCAACGCTTTCTGTGAGGTTATCGGCTCAGGCCTCCGGGCTTGACGACACTATCTCTGGACTTGAATTGTGCGATTCCGCCCGAAGATTCGCAGTGCCAGACAGTTCAGAGGGGAACCAAGCAGCTGAGAAACTGGATTCCTCCCAGCAACAAGTTCGGGCGCCTGGACTTAGATGGAACTATTAGGGTCTTAGGACCAGAAAACGCGAATGGCATCAACACAACAGCCGCTCAATCCCACAACCCCTGCTTCCTCATTAGCTGAGCACATCGCCGATCCGCCAGCTCTGGGTCATCACACAGAACCATGCCACCCTCACCTGCTCCAACAACACCACGCACTACCCCACACTTCCCCGCACCACAAACCTTAAAACTGAAGGCTGGTGGAAGCTAATTTCCTACACCTGCGATCCTTCTGCCATGCAATTGCCAAGTGCAGCCGACACTTGGAATTGCGCGCGGCCTGTTGTGATGTGCTTGTTCGGGTAGAAGCTCATAGTGCTAATGTCGCCGAATGAGCCACATGGCTTCCCTGCGCAAGTCCTTAGCATACTGCAGCTGACATAATCCAGACCTGGAGTGCTGAGAATGATGCTGACCAATCATTTCAGCAGCATCTTCGATGACTTTCAAGCCCCGCTCCTTGCCAAAGGTAAGCTAAAGCAACCTACAACATGCGCAACGCTATCAGGCCTTGGCCAAAACCATGATGGGCCTGGGGACATGGACCACAGTTTGTGGCTACTCCATGCGATTCTCCACATTCGCATCTTAGGCGCCGACTCCATGTTGACGGGAAAGTGATAGGTGTGAACACACAGGATGGCCTGCAAGATGTAAAGAACGACTTCAAATCATAGAAAAATGAACGGGGGACATCGAACTTCTATGCCCTCAGTGCCAGGTTTGCCTTGGTCCTTGACGTGATCTTGGTCGCAATGTGGGACACGTCCATGTTGAAAGTGTCATCCTCGAGAGGGCGCGGGGCTGTTTTCCAGCACTGCTGGTCTGAACAGGCTCAACAGTCACATGCCTCAGGTCTTGGCGGAGTCGACCAAAACTGGGGTGGAGCCACCGCGAATGATCTGCAAGATGATGCAGTGGAACACAAGAACAAACCACTTCGCACAACCTGGTACGAATTCTAGATAAGATTGCCTGGTTGATGCATGAGATGATGCAGAAGGTGGGCAGAATGACCTGCGCGTGACAATTTGGCAATCCCTACCTCACTGCCATTTTGCACATGCATACAGAGCCTCTGAGCCTCTTTCATAGAGAGCACCTAATAGTAACTAGTAGTGGTTTGCCTTTGCCTCATACCTCCAAGTCTTCAGGAATTTATGGAGCAGCTTACGGTGGATGCGTTTGTTCTTCGGGTACTTGTGGGCCAACTTCACGACTTTATCCACGTGGACCATCTTTTACAAGCACGCTTGCGAGCTGTGCTGATGACGGTTGCACTGTTTTCGGATGCTGGAAACGATGTTTCTACGGCAAGATGCCAAGCGGGGGGCTGCCCACGGGCGGGCCAGCAGTCTTCTCAACGGACCACAGCAAAGCACGCATTGCAGAAGTGCACAGTAGAACCCAGAGATTGCAAGCTGCCGTATTTGAGCTCTACATGAATCAGCTGAACCCAGGCCATTGCATTGCCAGAGTATGTTCTGGGCCGTGTCTGAAAGACTGGCGATCAAAGCTTGAGGAGTGCTCCGCAGCCAGACAGCTCAAATAATCAAAGAGATCTGATCACTGAAAATCAGAAGATCAAAGACTTGTTTTGCTTTCTTTTGCAACAGGCCTGTCTTCGCCCCGATGGCATGAGGTCCCTCAACCAACATGCCCAAAGGGCAATGTCTGCGACTTTGTGAAACTACGTTCCAAGCTGGTGTGTCAGTGACCCCTGCCTTGTGTCTTGCTCAGGGAATGAAATGTCCAAGTAGATGCAGAAGGTGAAGGTCACACGTCTGGCCTTGTATCACTGCCTTCCCAAATGTCATGGACGAATCTGTCCGAAGATTCGTTCATTACGAGCCTCTTCTGAACCACGTCATAGGTCATCACATACGTGCGGGCCTCTTCAAGGCTTTGCCGTTGGGCAGCCTTTCGGTGGGATGGCGGCATCTTGCCTACCTCGTTTTCCCGCTTCTCGCTCAGGCTCTTGGCGCCTTCTGCCAGCTTCATGTGCTCCAAAGCAGCCTTTGCTGCCTTAGATGTGAAGTGATCAAATACCTACCTCCCTTGCTTTCAGCAAGTCCTTCACGGGACTCGCTTAACCCTTCGACTCAGAGAACCAGAGCCAATGATCAAGAAATTCGCTTCTAATTGCGTTGCTTGCCTTCATGGCGTCTGACCGTCTGAGATAGTAAAAGTCATGATACTAAACTAATCGCAGGCCAAGTATCATCATTCTGCGTCTGATCAGATCCAGGCGTGGTTTCAACGTGACTGTCGCTCTCCATGGGCGAGGTATGCCATCATCGGACCGGCAAGGCGGAATGTTGACAGAACAGCTTGAGCATCTTGAGCTTGAAAAGTGTGCACGGTACATCAGCAAGTCAGCCAGGCTTGCTTCACAGGGACTCCCTTTGCAACTGAGCGCAATCACACAACTTGTGAACACTTGAATCCTAATGGCGTTGATTTGGGATTGATCTTAAGCTGCTTGGTCTCCTGCACTTGCGTTTTACGCGACAAGTGCAGTGCCCTCGCCTCGTCTCCTTGCCCGAGCCCAAGGGCCTTGATTGATGCTGCATCTCTGACAACTCCCCCATCACCTTCAATTTGTTGCAGACAAAAAACCTGCACTGCTATGTCCAAAGCGGCCGTGCCATTTGCACAGGCAATGCCATGCCTGCGCACAAACGTCTAATGATGGCTCAAAAAATGATGCTAGCCTATACTGGCCTCCTTTGACATCTCGCTGACAACTTGCTCTCGAAATCCTTCACAGAAGGACCTGGAAAACTGCTTGACATCGCGCTCTTCACGGCATGCATGCCAGCAGCACCTTCAGAGGAGATCCAGCCAGTTTCAATGCATTTTGCCAGCAGATCCTGCTCATGCGCGATATCAGCAATGGCAAAACCTGTTTCACCCTGGAGCATCTGAGCGCTTGACCTTTTCGTTGCCCCAAAACTTGGGGGTGTTCACTGGAAACGCTTGGGCTGACAAATCACCCATCACTGAAGTCAGGTACAAAGCTTAGACCTGCACAATCTTCAGCACATTACCATATCAAGCCAATATCTTTCCACCAACCCCTTACCTCAGTAGGCTAGAGGCTAGTCTGCTTAGATGCCTTTCCTGCTTGGCAAGTAGGGCAATGCTATCTCATCTCCAACTTCTTAGTGTTGCCGCATGGGTCAATTGTCTTCCGATTGAGGGCCAGATTAAAACATACCAAAATGTGCCATCTTGGGCCGCACGGGCTTAGCAAGCATGTCGGCACAAGGGAAACACCAAGGGACAGGCAAAAATGAAGCTAGAAGCGTGGACCGCTGCATTGAGCCCATTTTGCCGATGGTAAAACGGAAGTCAACAAGTCCTTCAGGTCTCCAAATGCGAGGGCTTTCTCCACTTCCTTGAAGTGGAGCTCTTTGCAAGTCCATCCAAGGGCTGTCAGTTGCCTGCTACGTGCTCGTGCTGATCCAAGCTGGCGATCAGAAATAGTCAGATCTCTCGGAGATTGAACAAGCAGAGCAACTTGTCCAGGAAGCAGGGCTTGGGCACGATGGACGCTGATGAACACTTGCGCCTCATGAGCCACAGAGAGTTCAATTAGCGCATTTGATATGTCATCAGCGTGGTCATGGAGTGAACCTTTGCCAGCGGGACGAACTTCACAATGAGGGAGGGCAGGTCCCATAAGCGCAATCTCGACTTCCAACCACTCCACCCACATCTGGCTGTGCACATCTGGCGTATCTATGTCATTCCTCCTCTCCTCATTTAGAATGGCCCTTGCGCCAATGAAATCCTCATGAAACCCGAGACACACCACAGCGGCAGCCACACGTTGCTTACCTTCTTCATCTAGTGCAACTAAGTTCTGTAAACAGGACCGTACTAGCGGCCTAGCTAGATCTTCGTGACCTAGCTCCGCCAATGCCCAAGCTAGCAAAGGCCACCAATGCTGGCCAGGACCTTCCTGCCAGAGCATATCGTGCTTGAGCATCTTCTCAGTTAGACTGATAAGCTCTGGAATTGGCACAGCATCCCAACTGAGCGAAGTGCTGGCACACAGTAGTTGTGATGCTGCTCGGGCCGCTGCCAAATTGTCCGAGTGGGAAACAGCCTGGATGCCTTCGACAGCTGTGCAGAGACAAGAAGACACGGCGTCTCTGAGACGCTGACTTTTATGCAAGCGTTCTTGCACGGTTTCTCTCACATTTGGGGGCAATTCGGCAAGAGCACCCCATAGCCGGAGAAAGGCCGCTGAATCCAGAGATTTGGACAGCAAGCGTGGCAGCTGCCCAGCACATATGTTCAAGAGCAGAGCGTCGTCCAGCTTCAAAGTAACCATGGCCTCCACAAGATCCGCCATCTCATGCAGTTGGAACCGCCACCATCCCTGGGCACGGCTGCGTGTTGTCTTCAGCAGTTCCAGAATGAGCTCATTTGCATCAACATTCAGTCGAGAAAGAGCATGCAGGGCGTGAATACATTCTGCTGCATCTAGAAATTTCAAAAGCTGCGGCGCATCCCGCAAAAACTCTCCCATTCCTTCAGGCACATACTCAGCCTCAGCCAGACCGATGAGTATCTCAACAATGTTGCTCGCATGCAGCAGCTGACGTTGCTTAAGCGTTTGTCTAAAAAGACCTTTGTAGAGGGATGGATCCTCAACTCCAGCTGTGCCGAAGCCGTGGATTGTTCGAGCAAGCTGCAATGGGGTGAAAGTTGGCATGATGGCTTTAGTGTGTTTGGTTAGTGCTTTAAACAAAGCTTTATGGGCATATTCAATACCAGCAAAAGCTGCAACTATGCTGGACACATCATGCGCATTCATCAGACGAACCTTGGACGTCAATGTATGAGCAAAATCATTGAAAATACCTGCATCAAAAACTCGTACGTTGCTGAACGCGAATGCCAGCGTGCACAAGTCGCGAGGAACCTCAAAGTCCAAAAACTTGCTGCGCACAACAGGGGCGATGGTTTCTGTCAATAGCTCTTCATCGGCTTCCTGCAAGCGGGACAAGGCCCAGGCAATCTGGGTTAGTTCCTTTGGCGAACAGGTCTCGGCCTGTTGACGCAGCAAGCTGCGAATTCCTTCACATAGCTCACTGTGTGTGAAGTTTAAAGCTGCAAACGCCCAAAGCAGTGAAGTGATATCTGACATTGAGAACTCTTCCAGGATTGGGTGTGCCTGCTGAGCCATCGCAACAAACAGCCTTTCATCTCGGACTTGCAATCGAGATAGAGCAGCGGCAGCGCAAGCCAGGTCAACGGAAGTAGTCAGCTCTGGCAGGCGCTGGTGCAATTGGCCAACCAACACTTCTTGAAGCTGTTTGCACTCACGAAGGGGAGCCAGCTTCGTGACTTTCACCAGGCTGCCAAGAAGCACGCTGAGATCGCGGCCAGTGAAAGAAGAGCAGTTCTCTTTGCAGCGCTGAAACATCAAATCATTTGCCCAGTTGGGCCAGCACTGCAGGCTGGCAAGAGACCAGACCAAGTGCACGATGCCTCGAGGCTGAAGCACATCGATTTGCTCTGACACAATTGTCAGCAACTTTTCGAAACGCGGATTTCCAGCCAAGGCTGAATGCGAGCCCTCGTACAGCTTGGCTATTCTGTGCACAGCAGTGATCAGGTTCACCAGATCCATACGCTGAAGCTCCTCCTCCGAGCAGATTGCAAGAACACGTCCTACACTTCGAGCTCTCAAAATGTCCTGCTGAACCGCCAATCGATCTGGGTGCATCTCAAGCAACTCTGCTTTCCTCGCAGCCACAGTTGCTCCATGGAATGCCAGGGCACGCCGGCGCTGGACAGAGTTCAATGGCTTCAGCCCTCCAGCAGGCAAAGCTTCTGGAACCCTGGTCCCAAACAGTTCAGTGGATACTTGCTTGTCTTCAGGGTTTAGCACTTGCAAGCCCGAGTCATTCTGCTTGACAGTAAGCTTGGCATGCGAGACCTCAAGCAAACTTGCTTTCAGGGCATGGGAGGGAGGTTTCTGCGTCCTTTTCCTGGAAGTGATACGCTCAACCACGGCGGAAGGGGTTGTGTCTGCTAGCTCTGCCATTCTCCGAGTCGCCACGTCAAGTCTGCGGGCACAGCGCACCACAGCACCCAGAGAGCCCCTCTGCCCCAAGAAAAGGGACATTACAGAACTGGTGATAACATGCCATGGCCAGGGGACATGCTGCTACTGCAGTCTCGGCAAAGATATTGTTGACCCATGAAAGCTTGCCAGGCGTTCTTCTGGAGCCTGTACATTATTACACCGCATTGCAATCAGTAACCACCGCGGCCTACCGGCAGCCTCTGGGACAACAAACTTCGCTGACAAGCAAGGATCAAAACTTTTCAGATTTTTCTGTTTGTGCTTGCAGCAGGTTAGGAATGTGATATCTGAAATGCTGACTAAACAAATGCAGTGCTGACACTTTACTGAGCAGCCTGTACCTGTACTATGACCGTTGGCAGGCCAAACTGGCGAGGCTTGTTGAATAATCCAACGTTCAACTTGGCTCGGGAAGTCCTTGAGTAGTTCTGGCTCTTGAAAACTTCCAACAGTAAATGGGCCATAGGGTTGAATGCAGAATCTTCTCAAATTCCGAAATTGTTGGGGCACTCTGCCATTTCTAATGTTCATGCTCAATTGAGACGCTCAAGTGCAGAAGATCGAGAACGCGCACATGCCAAGGTCAAACCTTTGCAGCTGTCCACTTAAAACTACACACCAATTGATGACCTTTGCAGAAGTTGTGTTAAACACGCTGACACTCTTTGATACCCCTCAACGAATAACGATTCACATTGAAAAAAATAAATGTTCTGAAATCCTTGCTCCCAACTCGTCTCGCTTAGTTGAGCCTCAAATTCAAGACTTCCAACGCTTGTCGAACACTCAATCTGAGCCGGCGACTTCTGCAAATCTTGATTTCAGTACATGTAGCAAAACCACAAACACAGACCGAAAGGTTACCACAGCTAGTGCGCAAAAAATTCGGCAAGTCGATGCGGCTCAGAACGTAACCTGCAAACCATGTATGATGTATACTGTATACATTGCCAATGTTTGGACTCTGCCGACCAAGTTCGGGAGCATTGGGGCTGACTGGAGGGCAACACATAAATGTTGCCTGTAGTAATATCTTCAAAGCTGTCCTCTCAACATGTCTTCCAGTCATCTCCCACAGACAATTGCCCCTCCGCGTGAGGGCAGCCTCCCAGCTCGGCTCCCAGACTGGGGCTCTCAAATGACGTGGTGAGGAGCTCGAAAGAAACAGAATAGAAGCAAAGGCACGAAGAAAAAACAAAATTTAGAAAGGAATGGAGGTAAACTGAAAACCTTGGAAGGAAACTCACACGCTGAAGAGATGAAAATTTCATGTCTGTTTGTTCTATACAATCATATCCCTGCTGGGGTCTTTAGCGACCAAAGCTTGGTACTGCCGCGTTTGTGATCTTGTTAGGGATCTTAGATATGCTTACTCGCCGTGCTCTTCTTGGAACCTACAGCTTTGGTATTTTGGAGCAAACTTTGTCGAATTCTCAATGGTGAAAAAAATCAGGCACAATTTTTGCGGGCTATGGAAAACCAGATGTTCAGCATCATTCATTTTTTTCAAGGTGCAACACTTCAAGCGATGACAAAAGATGATCCACCAGAGCAGCCATAAAAAATCGTCTTTGCAAGTTATCGATTGTGCCCTTTGAAAGCTTACGTGCTCACCTATGTGACTCAGTACCTGCAAGGTCTGAACTTTTGGACTGCGAGTACAAACAGCCCTCCAGAAGGGAAGCTTATCCGCATGATTTGAAACAGGAACAAGGCCATACTAACTGAAATTCAGATCAACGGTAAAGGCCCAGCAACCGAGGACTCAGCACAACACCCTGGACTGCGCAGTGCCCGCTCATTTTGTGGACACCGGCAAGCTTCAACAGCTTGAAGCCGTTGCTCGAGTTCTATAAGTCTTGCCTACGGACTTCACCAAAATGAGGCGGACCTTGCTCGACGGCTTGAAGCACGATCTTCTCAGCCCGGCAACCACAGACCAGACAGTTTCACTACAAACAAGTCGCTGGCCCATGGCTTCACGAAACCGACGAACTTGCTTCTTGGCAGCAACAGATGCCTCGGCTTCTACAATGGTCTCTTGAAAGCTCACCATCGGCGCACTTGTTCCTGCTTCGTCGCCTCTTCAGAAGCTTTTCAATTTCACTAAGCTTCATGCCAGCTGAATGTAATTTCTGCGTTCGGCGAACTCCTCCGCAGCAACCTGCTCTCACAAAGCACTAGCAAGCTGCGTGTCAAATTGGATCCACCCGTGGCCACCGTGGACACTGTGGCGGCTGCCTCGAGCTTCAGTACCGGCCGGTCTCGTCCACTTCCATTTTCCAGCCCCTGTGGAACTTTTCAAGGCGCAATTATTTCCGTTCGTCACTTGCAGCAACACGCGCTCAAAAAAGCCTTTTCCAGCCATCACGCTTCACAGCACTGTTGGGTAGGTTTCTTCATTGCAAGGAGGCTGCGACTTCGTACACGAGCATCTCTTGCAGTTCATCATGTTGCTTCTGGGAACGCATCCCTTTGAACAAGCTACTACTTATCAATCAGAAGTGCAGAGCTCTCTGTGTGCGGACTACCAGCAGTCACATGATGCATCCCCCACCATGTAGACGAAGGCTAACCGATGCTAACCGGATCTTGTTTCCGTAGGGCATCAGGCTGTGTCGGCGGGCACTTGACACGTGTAGCAGCGACAACTAGACAGACAGCATACATGTAGAAACGGAAATGGTATTTTAAGTGCTTCGACATGCTGTGGGAGGCAAACTGCTTGTCTGAACGCAGCTGGGTCTTCTGTACAAACGTTTCACCCAAAGTTGAAGATCACTGCCCGGCCAGATTCTGAACCCGCCCAAAACTTCAAACACAAGCCTGTCCAGCACCACTCAGCTGCTTATGAAGGAATTGCTCCATATCTACGCTGATTCGGAATCTGTCCCCGAATTATCTGGTTAAGCAACCTCGCGCCACTTCATCGTCGCTTTGGCACAGAAAGTGCACGATTTGGCGGCAGCATCCGTCCTGAGACAAGACAAGCGGCAAGCGTCTCCCTGTTAAAGCCAAACAAGGCTGACGTAAGCTGACTGTCAGTTTAAGGTTTCCAGCTCCTGGAGCTCCTAAAGGCTGTGGAAGTGAGCTCGGTCGCCCGTGAGCAGGCAGGTGTCGCGCCAGTCCTCCAACCACCGCAAAATCTGCAAATCACAAACGGTCTGGCTCTCTTTACCACCATTGGCCGTGTTTTCTGCACAGGCAAACTTCTTGCTTTCCCTCTGCGTCAGGACTGCAGGTGGGATGTTCACAAGCTTTCAAACGGACTCCTTTGGCCGCTGCCGCTGCTGCGGTGGTGGGGGCTGCGGTGGTGGCGGCTGCGGTGGTGGCGGCGTGCAAGCAACATGAAGAGGCAAGCTGTGAACACGGCCCAATCACGACTGATGCAACGAGACGAAACCACAAAAAGGGCATGACCAAGCCGTATCAAAATGTACAAGCGGGGGATCAAGTCACACCAAGCCGCGCGAAGTCACGTCGCCGCTTGCTCGCGCACGAAGTATGCCGCACGCTCACTCCAGGAAGTATGAAACACCATGTACACGTGCTGTCCAAAGCAGGTTCTGCAGCAAGCAAAAACAGCCTGTGGCATGTACATTGTGGGTGAGACGAACCAAAAACACCTTGTTTCATATCAATCTATCATGCATTCCCATGCATGCGACAGAGCTGCCTTGAGAGGAAACCCAACGACTACACACTTGAAAACACACTACATCCTGTTAGCACAGATGCTGCTGACAACTACGCTATGAAACAGCAGTCCACAAGTACACCTGCTTGCAAGTTACAAAAACAGTGATGAAAGTATTCACGATGCTTTGTCCACAGATGAGAATCCGAAGTACATGCACTTGCAAGTCACGAGCAATGCGATCAAGATAGTCAAGAGGCCATGGCCGTAGATGGGAATCCCCCATGCACACTAACAAGCTATACAACTAGTACGGAAGATACTTACAACGTAATGGCCATGGATCAGAATTCCCATGCGCAGGAGCCTGCTGCACGAAACGCGGAATGACTTAATCCCGGTACTAGTCGAGATCACCCTGCAGCCTGCACACTGCCCGTCTCACACAAGCCAGGTCCTGCGAAATCCTTGTCGAAGTGTTCTCGCCCACCCTCGTCCATGCCTGGATAAGAAAAACAAGGTTGGTCAACAAAAGCGGGCAGGGCATGCAAGATCATGCAATGCGCACCAAGGGGATGCGTACAAACTGCTGGTAAAGAAAAGCACTTCTGACCTCGCAGCATTTCATGACATCTCTCGTCCTGGGCAGAATTGCTGAAGAGCTAATTTCATAGTATTGCGAGACGGGTCCTGAGTGAAGCGGTTGCGCTCCTGGCCCAAGTGCCAGCTGGTCATAACACTTTTGGACTCTGTTGGGCCGCGCTTTGGCCTTAACCATCTTTCGGGCTCTGTGACCCAGATGTCTTTCCAGGCCCATCTTGTCCTGGGTTTCCAGGCAGACCTCTACACTAGTGTCTTGCGCTGAAGCAACATGTGTGTAATCCAAGCGGCCACACCACTGGAAGAGTTGGAGTATGCGTGCTGGGCCTGCCAGTGTTTCAAGATTATGCGGGCGGCGCTACACCTAGACAGTGCATCACAGGGCCTACTGTGCAAACCATTGCTTAAGCAACAATCATGTGCCTCTCGGATTCCGTGGTGGGCATTGCCAACATCAGACGAAGAGTATCTTTCTGTGTGGACCTGAACGGATGTCTTGCATGCTGACAACCACCTTCAAGTTCAGCAAATTATGGCAACATATTCGGACCTTTCCGTCTGCTCCTCGCACAGAGGACATGGCAAACGTCTGGCAAGAATATGAGCCAGCTCCTGTCAGTGCCCACACGCAATCTGCATTCCCCAAAGCATGCGTTTCAAGTTGACATGCTTCTGCGGGGAACGATGACGGGCCGTGTGCAGTCGGGCCTGCAGGGCTGCTGCTCACGGGCAGGCCCTTCAGCATCTCTCCCTGAGTCTGCTTGGTCACGTGCATTTGAAGCCACCCCGGCACTTAGCTCAGAATCTCAGCGTCACGGCAATGTGGTCAAATCGAGACATCAACCCTCCACCAAGAGGACTGCTGCTGAAGTCCTGCAGAAGCATCTGCAGGCTCCATGGCAAAATCTTGCACAGGCTCACACGCACCTTGAAGGGGTCATGCCCTCCCAGCATGCTGCCGAACGGAGCCAGTGAGCTCTGATCGGGAAAGGTAACTGCTTCAAGGCCTCAGGAAACCAGATCATCCGAGTCCATTATGTTGTAATTTATGATGGTAATGCTCTGCCTCAAGCACTTTTGAGCCTTCAACTTGCGTTTGCCCTTGCTGCTGGGACGCCTGAGTGGGGGTCTTCGAGATTGCTTACTGAGTATGCCTGAGCCAACACCCGCTGAACAAAGCTGAGATTGCCCGTGGAAGCTGCTCAACGATTCTTGCAAGATGCGTGCTTCGCTTGCACCACGCCGTCCAGATCCACATGTTCGGAGCGCCATGCACCTAGCTGTGGTGAGACGCGAACAGCCTGTTCATGCTCCTCGCGCGTATAGGCTCCAATCATGCAAGGCCACATGCTGTTTGCCTCAGAGGAACACGCCTTCTTGCGGCCGTTCGGCGCAAAAGGGCTCATCGAATTGCAATTGTGTTCCAGCTTGGAGCCGTTGCCACGGTAAATTTGAACTCAAAGACCGTTCCACACGCATCCTATCGCATCGCATTCCAGCCTTGTGGAACATTGCCCCATCATAGATGGTGACCTCCCCAACTTGACGAACCCCGTTGAAGCGGGGCCACGGTTGAGAGTTGAAGCTATGCTGAGGTTGATGCAGTCCCACGAGCCGTGAAAGGAGGGGCGAAGGGACTTGCCAGACCTTCGCTCCGCTGTGAGCACACGCTATGACAGTCTAGCGAGCAGTTCGGGCGCCATAACCCAAATCCAAGGTCAGCTCAGTCTCTTCGCTTCAAGATTGTCCTGAAACATCAGAATCAAAGAGGAACATCTTAGACACAAAAATCTGCAGCCGGGGCGCATCTTGATGGCAGCACTGGCAGGCCAATCCTGCAATGGCTACGATTCTGCAAGACCAAAGTGTGCAAAGTTCCCCTCGTCCGCAAAAACGAGATGAGTGCTTGCGGGAGCGTGAACAGAAACGTCGTCTATCAGATGCTGCAAGAGGAAGAAGTTGGACGTAAACATGGGCTGCTGATTGCTGGGTTGCGCAACACACTTCACGCGTGCTATGTGATGACGATTCCGTGGAATGCGAATTTGCCTCCACCTAGTCTTTATCTGGTGCTGCCAGTCGCCACTGTGCCTTGGAATCCCCTGTGCTTCGCTGCACTCTGCTTAGAGCTTTCGACGGCAGACTGAAGGCGGATTACGGCATGGAAAAACCCTGGCATCTTACATATCTGGTTCTATCATCTCTGGAAAGTGCATACCTTCAAGCCCACAGGAAGCACAGAGGCACTCAGTTGCAACATTTGACAGGAGGCCACTGCAAAGAAAAGGGAACTTCGCTGCCGAGCCCGTCAAAGAAGGCTGAAAATGCATGGCAAACAAGATTGGACGAAACAACCCATGAACCTGCTCACTCGGATAGATTATGATACATTCATCCTTGTCTCCAAGTGCCCGCATATGCTCGAATCACTGGAGGAGCCTCTCGAGCCAGCGACTCACCACTGCAGGGGCAGAAGTACGTTGGCCTGAGAGACTGGTCTCCAAGAAAGACGTGCTGGATGCAGGGTAGTTGAAATCATTTCTGAGATCCCAACCCCATGGACAGAGGGACATCTTGCAAAGCCGTGTGCACCGAAACGGAGAGGCCCTGCCCCCCACTGCAGTTACCAGCGGAAGAAATAGGACTGTATCTGACCTTGCCTTGAAATAGTGCACATCAGGATGCAAACTCTGGTTTGCACCTTTCTCTCGTGTTTTTGAGTCTGCGGCCGTCTTGCAACGGCTGTGCCACTGCTGAGGCACACGCTTCCACTCGAAGATGTTAACACCTGAAATAAAGCAGTGGTGCAGCATATTCTCACCTTTCAGGAGGCTGAGACGAAAACCGACACGTGGTCAATGCCAAAGCTACCACCACTTGCCAAAAAGTACGAATGCAGCACCTGCAAGAGTCCAGTCCAAAAAGTTGCTATGTTTTCTTGACATCTTTCCTGGTACTTCAAAGCAGCAATGAGAAGCATCTGGCGCATGATACAACATGATATTGTTGCAAGTGGCACTTGGCCTCTAGAACCAAATCGCTCACGCCGAGCGTTTTGCGTGAAGAGAAAGGCTTCGTGAACGGCAAGTATACCTGTCACAAGCTTTGTCGCATCATTTGGCACCTTGGGATCACCACTCGATTTGCATCACTTGGAGCTTATGTTCCACACCACTCCACACCTCTTGAAAGGCCCGGCACGGTTTGATTTAGGTCAAGAGGCCTTCACGTTTTCCTGGACATGCCAAAGTACTTCGAAATTCAAAGTTGCAAAGTGTTTATGTGTGTGTGTGTGTGTTGCAGATGCTTGGTGAAACAGGCTTATGGCATTGGCTTCTGCTTCTGCTCATCAAGAACAATGGCCTGGGTCTGCTAAAATTCGACCAAAAGCGTTCGTTCTAGCACCCACGCCTGATGACGTCCATCATGAAGCTGCTTTGTGTCAAGCAACTTTTGGTACGCCTTCTCTCTGGACTTCAGCTGGTCAAATGCCTGCCGCCACACACGGTCTGTTCTTAGAGAGAAGTTTCAAAGAGGCCTTCTGGAACTGATCCAACGCCGCGAGGTCATAGCCGCGCAATATCTGCCTTTGCGTGGCCAAAGCTGGCACAGCTGACAAGCACAAAGCCCGATTCATGGTTTGTGGGATGTCCCTTGCGTTCGTTGCTTGCCGAAAGGCACAACACCACATCTCTGCAGTGTGTCGACGGCCTTTTCTGCACCATCATCAACCGAAACTGTGATGCCTGCCAGAAAGCAACACAAACGTAACTACCCAGCTCGACCCTTCCACAGTCTCACAGAAGCACCGATGGCACGGGCACAGCTTGGGGTGCGCTCTCTACTGGGCGTCAGGCGCCTTCAGAAATGCAGCGCTCAGCACAGCTTCGGTGCGCCTGCGGGTACAAACCTATGTGACCTGCTTGCAGCAATGCAGAATGCTCCTGTAGGGCAAGAGCAAACGGCTCTGACTGCACCTCAGCATGGCAGCCACGTGAAGCCAAGGATTAAGATCGAACGCTTCCATGGAGGTTTGGGAGCCGGGCGGGTTCAGCGCCTGGCCCAAACGCTCCAGGCAAGAAAGAGGCCTGGTTCAAATGTCGATTCAGCATGCTACTGGTTTTTGGCTAGTCACACCTTGAGTCACGAACCATATCCTGCTGCCCGCCACCTGATCGGACTGCTTGTGGTCTTGTGTGAAATCTATGGAAAACCCTGCAGAGATTTTAAAGAAAAAGAAAAAAAACATGTCACACAAAATACGCTCGAGAATGAGCTCCAATTGAAAATACCCAGCTCGAGCAAAAACTCACAACTGATGATCGACGCATGCTGACAATCTGTACGACTGATAGGGGTAGCATGTTGCTCCTGAGGGGGCCTGAATACAAAAACAGGATGTCCGTTGTTTCGAGCCATCCTTTCTGAATATCTGATCGTGTTGGTTACACAATAAAGTTCTCCATCACAAAAGCGGCATGTGTAGTTGACAATGCTTGTGCGGAAGGGTGCAAGGACGCCACAGTGCTCCAGCAGGAGCAAGAGAAAGAGTGAGGCCGCCAGGGCCGTCAGCAACTTCAAACTTCCAGCGATAGCTGGGCCCCGCTGCTGTGAAAGGCAAGACAAAACCACAGGCAAACACTGAACGCTGCGGAACTGGCAGGACCTGGTTCGCGAACGCTGGCAGGGCCACCTAAACTGAGGAGATCGACCTCCTTCGGCTCCACTGTTGCTGCAGTGTAAGTGCGAGAAAGCACCCTGTCAATCCGCGATATGAGACCAAGCAAAAAAAAGTTCCAAGACCGTCAACTATACAAGCATACCCTCGCAAAGAAGATCAAGCACTGGGAACCAAGACTTGTTACCCTCTCATGAACGACAAGGTGGTAACCTCTCACGAGGAACTTCAGCCCACAACACGACGAAAGCAAACTATGCTTCCAAGAGAGAAAAAGGGATTGGCATTCGGTAGAGACGGTTCAACATGCTGCGGAGAAACCCGGTGCTGAGTGCCCAACCACAGCTGCCGACACACAACCTTACTGCAAATGGAATAGCACAACGCTGTATCCATGCTATTTCCAGGGCCCGGCAAGGACAAAGCAGAAGCAAATGTCCTGAGGAGTGAGTAGGCCTGCAAACTACAACTCCAAAGAAAGCCCTGCATTGAAACCATGACCAGAACAAGAAGGTCTTCACTACACACACAGACACGGACATGGACTCAAAGTGATTCCATGTGCACACTTTCTTTCAACATGCCATCCTGATACCCCAGTTTCTCTGATGAGTTGACGTGCAGGTTGTACGTCCAGCAGATACTGCACCATTACTACGAGCCTGGTGCGGCAATTGTGCCGTGCTGGAGCGCTACGATGAGTGCTTTGTTCAACCAAGCTCGTTAAGTACCACGAGTGCCTAGTGCCTCGGGTACGGCTAGCATGCAACACTGAAAATGCACCACTGAAAGAGCTGGCTGAGGCTCAGTCTGCTCCATGGATGATGCGCAGATGGGATGCGCCCCTGGACCCTTGGAAGACTGCACGCGCTAACAAGCACACACAAATTCATGAGGCTAATCTGTTGCTGAGGTGTGAGCAGCGTCACATCCAGCAGCCCTGCAAGGCTTTAAGTCGCATGTACTTACTTTCGAAGGTCTCCTAAGTGATGCCAGACCTGTACATCGCGTTGATGGCTTGTCTGTCCGACTTCGACATCATGGCGCACCGAGTAGCGCAACTGAGCTGCGCTTTATCATGAATACGAGGATTCCCACCATCACCATCAACACTCTTCTTGCAGACGCATCACTCAAAGTGAAAGCGAAGCTCGTCATCAAGAATCTCGCCCACAGTTGGCATCCATAGCCCCAGGAACAATGCTGCACCCGCCACCTCACTGGGTAGGTGTTCATAATGGCGTTGCATCTTCAGGACTCTTGGCTACAGGGACCCATGAAGCATTGGCAAACGGACTTGCTGTGCATCAGCAGCCGGAAACTCTGAGACGGTGCCGCGACAAGATGCCGACGAGCTTCGCTTGGTAAGCCGACGATTCCGCAAGAAGGGAAGCTTTGCACCATGATTTGAGGCCACTGAGCATTGGAAAAATTGCTGACAGGTTAAGAGCATCCTGGAGCCGCTTTTTGCAGAGTACATCTTCCGATCTTCCGGTCTGCGTGCTTCTTTGTCGTTCTGACACCACACTTTCCCGACATTTCTATGTTTCTTGGTGACTGCCTGGATCCAAATTTGCTCAGGTAAAGGAGTTGACATCATGTTCGTGATCCCGTGAAATGGTGCAATTGCAGGCACATCAAGGCTTGAAGAGAGGAGCACATTTACACCTGCAGTCACGTCGTGGCCAAAAGGAAGGCAGCATCCTGTGGTGGGATAGAAACAGAACCTCTGCTGGGTTCTATTCTGCCATCACAAAGCTGCACAGAGTTACCTTGTTCGTCCTGGAAAGCAGCTTTGCCTAATTGTCGGAACAGCGAGCACGAAGTCACCGTGATCGCCACTTGTTGCAGGTTGACCAAGCTCAACCCGCAAAGAGCTCCGTGAGCGTCGCGAAGTGCCACCAGTAGAAGGCTAGGAGGGCCGCCTGGCGGGCCAATGGAATCGGCACAAAGCAGACCCACTTCGGAGCTGGCCGCAACTTTGGCCAGCTTTGAGCGAAAGCGAAGCGCTCTGCAGATCAGCGGCCCGCTCACCTGACTGTGGGCATCTATGTTACTCCTTGCAAATCTCTTTCACAAGCACTGCCTCGCTCTGCAAGTCCTCAGGGTAGACAAGGACGCAGCCATCATGAAGAGAAAGAAGCCAGGCCCAGCATGTGCGCGAGGAATGGCATGAACCTGTGAGCCCATAGAATGATCCAGGGTTCATAACCTCACAACGAAGACAACACGCTTGCATCGTTCTTTGTCAAACACTAACTGAGGCTGACTCCGTGTCGTGGTTTCTTGCGAAACGTACAGAATCGCTGCAGAGACAAGGATTGTTGTCGCCGTCGGCATTTCTAATCCGCAGACCTGCACCACGCAGCTTTGCTTCGTACACCGTATTGCAGGCATTCCTGCCAAAAAGGCTCATTTGGCCGCCCGAGCCTTCAGATCGCGCAGCTTTTGCACACGAAACAGCCACGCCTTCTTGAGCTGCCTTTGCACCATCCTTGAGAACATGGTACATATAGACGGCCAGGGGGAAGTCTGTGGAAGGCATGGCCAATGACTGCATATACTCGTAATGCATTGAAGCATCTACACTCCTCAGAAGTTTGCAAGACAAAAGGCAGTGTCAGGACCAATTTCTGACATGACCAGCTGCAGGCAACTTCGCTGAGGAACCAAGCGTCAAGATTTCACCATATGCAAATAACAGCTTTCCAGATTTCTTTAAATAGTCCATGTGCTCTGCAAGGTGTGCAGGACGCATGTGCTTGACAGCGTCGAAACGGAAGCAGCGCACACCTCGGCTGGTGCTGGTGTGGTCCAGGATTCGTAGGAAAGAATCGAGCATGCAAATGTTTGGAACCCGTACCTGCATCCAACAACAACTGCAAGTGCTGCTGCTGAACTTTGACCACCTTCTCAGAATGATTCAACTCCGACCACTCGCCGTTGCCCCAACCCTGCCAATTTCATCCAGCCAGCGGGCTGAAAGACAAAAACTACGGAGATTCAAAACCCTGTCCTCATAGCGATTCTCGTTGTCCCAGTGCTCTCCACTCATCTCGAACCAAGGCCACTGAAAGTCTTCAGCATCCAGGACAGGGCCAACAGCATCATCTAAGCGACGCTTTAAAGCAGCAATTTGTTTCTCGGAGCTTTGTGCCCTTTTCCACTCTTCACAGCTGGCAACGACCTGGGTACAGTCGGCCAAAACAATCTCTCCGTGCTCCGCACTGCATCGAAAGCTGAGGCAGCCACCAGCATGTGGTTGAAGACTACATCAGCTATCACAACAAGGCCCTGGTGGTCGGCTTCCGTGCTGAGCTTTCGCAGATCGTCCCAAGAACCCAAGCCATCAATGCTCAGGTAGTCTTGTGGCTGATAGCGAGTCCACCACTCACCGCCTGAGATCCGAAGTTCCAGGTCTGCACAGCTGTACCCAAAAAGACCTGAGCCCTGCTAAGCTCAGCTAAGCTCACAACCCGACTTGGATTTCTGAGCTGGGCTAACTTGCACACCAGCGAATCCCAGCTCGCCTGCACAGGTCAAGCCTTCTGCACAGCCAAGCCATGACTGCGACATCCCCATCACTGCGTGCCTATGTCACGAATGCGCTCCAACGTCAAGGCAAAAGGCCAGTGAAAGGCATGCAAGACACTGTGCGGCACCTTGCAAACAATGCATCCCTGCATCTACAGCTGAACCAGAACAGTCTGGAAAGCCTTTTCTGACCGTCTGCAGCGGCTCCAGGGAATCCAAACTTCAATTCCTGTCCATGAACCAGAGGAGAGGAGCTCAAAAACTCTTCAGCAAGCAGCCACCCCCTCCAAGGCATTTACCAAATCTGCAAGGCTGGCCTGTGCCCAGCTCAGCCGCAGAAGGCACCTGTGGAATCTTCGCTGGCGGCGGCCATGTGCCAAGCGAAGTCACCTCTGCCTGGAACTGAGGAATTGCACTCAAGCAAACGAAGCAATCTTTGGCATCTTCCTCTGCAAGTGTCATGACCGAAAACAAATCGCGGCGTTCAGGTTAAATCATCTGAACACTAGACAGCTGCTAAGCTAGCTAAGCCAGCCAAGCCCTTATGCCTGTGCCCTGATTACCAGTTTGGTTGTTCGTGGGGCCTGGCCTGGCCAGCCTCAAAATCATGCAATGCTGCCGATGTTGGCCAGAGATGCATGGGGCCGGATTCCTCCCAGATGTAGAGGTTCTTGGCCATGTGCAGGATGCAGTACTTGTACTCAGTGCCCGCTTCAACCTGCCATCTGCAAAATTAAGCTTAAGCATGTCTCCCCGGCACTTGACACACCTGTCCTGCAGGCCATCGAGGGAGCCTTCCCATATCGTGGTCGCACCATCCAGACGGTGCTTCGACAGCTTGGGTGACTGCTTGGGATCCCAGGCGCCCAGTGCAGGAGGAGCACCAACCAGGCAGCACACGGTGCCCTGCAGCCTGCTGGCTTCTGCTGCCTTCGGAGACCGAGCGTGATCCTTGGAAAATCAGGTCCCACCTCAGGATAAAAGAAAAAAGGAATTCGGTTCAGGTGCCAACTACCTTGACTTGAGTACCACAGGTCCAAGCATCCCAGCATACCCCAGGCCTAGGCCCCTCAACTAAGTCAAAGGCAAGACTGGGGTCACAGAGAAGTCTTACGGCCGCAAAACGCATTTATCTGCAATGCCCATCTCTCATTCAAGAGACCACCTTGACTTGAAGTGTGAGTTTTCCTGTGGATACCTCCGGCCCGGAGGTCTGTGATGGCACTGCTGCTGGATTCTGATTCGTGCCATCGGAAATCTTTCTCATCAGCTCCTTGCCTTTCAGTTGCAAACTGACCCAACCTTTTGCAGGTCCGTCTCCGGACAACTTCTGGTAGTGCAGTCTGTCGTTGACCAGCTCCAGCTCCTGTTGGATCAGCGGCCACAAACAAAGCTCCATTGCTATGCAAGCGCAGCAGTCGCAGTAGGCACAGCAGGCACAGCAGGCGCAGCAAGCAGCATCAGCAGCAGCTGTTGTGAGCAATCCTCAACAAGGGCTCCCGTGCCCAATCTGCCCAGCTCCGATGACGTCAACGGGCGGCCATCTCGCACTAATATTCCGCCGGTGTCAACACCACCTGCAACCTGCCAACGTGTGGAAGGATTGTGAGCAACGACTGCAGCCGTCACGTCGGCAGATCCATCTTCAAAAACAGCTTGCAATCCTTGGTTCCAATGTTCTGAGCAAAGGTCGGAGGGATGCAACCAACCATTACACCCAGTTGGGAAAGCTTGTTTCTAGCAGAGCAAGATGCGACAGCCCGCTGTCGGCATGACATGCAATGGACCATTTTCTTCCCATACGTAATCATGAGTTTGCCCATTCCAAATGCAGAACTTGAAGTCTTGGCCAGCACAAGCAAGAGCATCTTCCACGATACCTTCCCATGCAGGCCCGCCTCTCCTTTGCTGAGAACGGTCAGAAATTCTCGGATACAAATTGCGTAGCTCCGACATCCTCAACCACTGTAACAATTTCTCCGCACAAAAGTCCTACAAAATGCAACCGAGCAGCTGGACAAGCTGAAGCTTGGGCGCTGCTTTTGGATCCCAACTCCCCAATGATGAACTACTACCAACCACACCTGCAGCACCACTGAGTTGCAGGTACTATTGATTCACATCACGTAGAACGTGTTGCAAAACAACCCACAAAGATGGTCAGTCACCAAACGCAGACAAGCGTGAAGACTGTCAGCTTCTCAGGAGGGATCTCAAATCCCAACTTTCATATGATCGAAGCAAGATGTTGGATGCATGATTTTGTCTAGCAGTTCACTGTCACTGCTGCTGCTTGGCTGGCAGGCTGATGTCATGGTTTCCGCTGGATCACTTCTGGGAAAACTCGAAATGTGACTCGTTCCAATAAAGCGCTGAACTAAGAAAGTTGTGTCATGGAGGGCGTGTCCAAGCGAAAATGTTCATGAGGACGTCGTCCCGTTGAAGCGAATACAGCAGGAGGGACCTTTGTGTCATGCGGCTGGGCGTTAGCTACTAATTTGCATCTGCTGTTCGTTGTCAGGTGCTAGGTATTGTTTCAGCTCTCGTGTCCACACCAAACTGACCAACAACATGAGTTCATGCCCTTGCCCCCTTCCCGTTTTTGGTCACAAGATACATGCCAGAAATAAAAATGGCCCTCTCCGGCTTGAATGCACTATGACAAAAGGCTCCCACTTCCCCACATTTTCAAAGCAGTTGCGGAACAGAAATTTTCTTGCATGCCCAAGGCTCAACAAGCTGCGCCAGGCACGGCACTAGCCTCGAAGAAACAAGAATCTGGTATATGGCAACGCATCAACAAACAACCAACGTGGTGAGCATGTGATCGACGATTTGCTGGGAGATGACTGTGGCAGCGCGTGAACCAGCTTGAAGTCGAACTGAAATCTGTGCCATGGCAACGCAAAATTGACCAAATGATCTTATTCCACAAATGCCTTTGCATGCAATCTACTCATCACAATCCTTAAACAAGAACTCCAAAAACACGACAGCCAAATAACAATCTTCACATTAATTAAGGTTCACCAAAATCAAACAGGCGTACAATGGCACAACAACACCATCAGGAAATCTAAATCTTTTTTTGACAATTTTGGGATTGGAGATTCGTGTGACACGTGACCGTTGGATGTTGTTCTTGAACCGTGCATTCAATAAGTGCAACCCTATAAACGCACCAAATCCTTGCATGACATGCAATTGCACAATTCCAAACAAGAACAACCAAGGACCTAAGTACGAAAACGTACCCGTAGCATGAACAAAGAAAGGGGTGACGATAAGAAACCCCGCCAGACCAATCAAAATCCAGATGACCATTTTTGCTAACCAATTCGAAGCCGGAAAGCCTACACACAAGTTTGATCGGCAATAAGCAATAACAAGGAAGGTTGTTGAGGTAACAAGAGTTTGGTATGAGATTTGCATTATCTCCAAAAAACTCACCACTGCACTGCTGAAGGTGCGGGAACTTGTTGACACTCCGATTCACCAGAATCAGGTCGAAAGTAAGTAGCGCAAGGCTACGCCCTGGGATCAGAAACAAAAATGATGAGTCTTTATCATAGAGCAGAAAAGGACGGTATTGCAGATAGCACCTGCTGCGAGAAGGGTTTATTTACGGGCTTTGGTAAACGGTAGTTGTTGGGAGCTTGAAATCCCATGAGAGATCTTCACGCCAAGAAGTTACCAGCCTTAGCACTTGTTATCTGGAAATCCTCAAGTGCACATGGACCATACTCTTATCCCAGCATTCATTCCAGGAAGCTCCCAATGGCGACCCTTTACCAAGGCCTTCCAACAACACGGTTTTCAGAAATACAATTTCATGGACTTTGGGTCGGGTAGGTGCAAATCCTGATTTCTTGCTAGAGGAGCTCTTTCGCACTGCCGGCCCCTGGAGGGCCAACGATAAAGAGTTTTAAGATGCATGAGAAAAAAAAAACGATTGCCCGCCACGAACTTGGTCCACAGGATTTGAGGCAAGGACAACTGCATACAATTCGGTCTGACCTATCACGCTTCCTACCCTCGGCCCATCCATCTACAACCCTTTTTGGGATCACGCATCCAAAAAACCCTTAACTAAAGGTCGAGGGCCAGGCCCACAGTATCATGAAAGGAATCCCCACGGGCTCGCACGCGGCATCGGTGAAAACAAAAATCCTGGCTCCGCGGGGTTAGCGATGCCCTCTCAGGCCTTCCTGCAAGGAACCTCTGAGCAAGCTGGGATTCGTCCAAGGCGACGATGTACTTTCTCACGTGCTCAAGGGACCTGATGTCTGCAAGCACTACGCGGCCTGTTCTGCCTAGCAACTGGGATTCCGAGAACTGGGGACGCCCAAGAAGGGAAGGCAGGTCGCGAGGGCGCACTGCTCTGGCGACAAGGATTTTCGCAAGGGCGTCTGCAAGGGAGGCGGCACGGTCCCCTTCGTTCACAACCTTGATCACACGAAACTCGGGATCCGAGCTGTCAAGCACAACGCCGAGGGTCTCTGTCCGACTGGAGAAGGGCGCTTCTCTTTGTCTGACATCCAGAATCCTAGCATCTGGCCTGCGACACACTGGGGTATAGTCATCGTATAGTACGATCCACACGTGACGTGAAGATGCCATAGAATTCTTTGAAGGTGGAGCGATGTCCTGTTGAATTGAAGAACGCTGGCTTCTGCCCCAAAAGGGAGGGTTTTGCAGATGAACGTCTGGCCACTCAGGCTCATTTGTCTCCACTCTTTGAGCACAGTCAGCCGACGCCTAGGTACAGCCACAGGGCCTTCCGTGAGGTAGAAGGATGGATTTCAGCAAAAGGTCAGGCAGAGCTTTGGCGGAATCAAACAAGTGTACCAAGGACAGTGCTTCATTGATGTGAACCCTAGGCGATATAAAACCCCATTAAGTAAGACCTGGGTCTAGGGCTCTAGGTCGGTGGGTCTGAGGATACACCTAGAATCATTACTGCTGCGTGAGTTGGATTCTCCCTTTCAACTGTCTCACGAAGCAAGCTCGGAGCTTTGGAAGCTCCTTTCGAATCGCAGGTGAGGCACTCACACTGCTTGTCATTCAACAGCAGCGCCACATCGCTGGACACTGAGACGGTGCGTGCGAACTCAGTGAGAAGGGGTGGAAAGCGCTTGCCCCGAGGTTGGTTCAGCAACACGTGTGAAAATGCAGAGCACACGCGCAGC